CCCCCCCCCCTCCCGGGATTTCTAATGGTCCGCCCCTAATTGGAGAAACTTGAACCACCATATACAAATCCTTTCAGCCAAATTTTCTATACAATATCAAAGCCAGCATCACAGAATGCAAAAATTTACCCCAACTATATTTGGAATTAACATGTAAACAAATTCCGCAAATCAAAGATCAGCCTCTTGAGATTCCAACGTACAAAACAGGCAATATTGGACAAAATATGTCTTATAATTTATGCAGTTTCAATGTCAATATTATTTCAGATTTCCCCTGTATTCCTATCAACAAACTGCGCAATTATAGAGCATAAAATGTCATAGTGAAAGTAAACCAAAATGTTGTTACTATGTTGTTAGCAACCTGCAAATTGTTTCTACTATAAAACATTTAAGACTCGAATCTACAAGTGCTTGAATTAATAATATTAGCTTCCAAACCCAGCGAGTAATTGGTTAAAATGAGGAACTATATAAATGACGGAATTGATATTAATAAGACAAATATGCCCCTAGATTTTAAAATACGAAACCATGTGTTTCTAATTGTTTCTAATGCTTGCCTTCAAACTGGGCGACATATCAAAATATTTTTACGCAAAACTATATTATTAAAATACTGTAGAAAGTGTTTAAACCTAGTTTAAAAGACATTTAATCAAAATTAAGTTCACTTTGTACATTAAAATTTACTTCCGCTTTGCCATATCACCAACGTCTATTAACGTTAGCATCCAAATTTAGGTTTAATTTGCCAGGATATTTTATATAAATACAGTATATTTTGATATAGTTGAAGTGTAAGATAGCTTCCCTTTTTGGGTAAGTGTTTGGATATAAATATTAAGTTACTTGTCTAGGATAATTTGTCTAGAATTGCTGACTCGAGCTGTCGACCAACTTACCATTTTTGTCAGGAACTGGTTTCACTTCAGTATTTTTTGAATCGACAGGTTTTTTAATTTCCTCTACAAAATTCTCAGGAAACATTCCCCGTTTTCCGTGTAGCTCTCCTTCCCACCAGCCATCTTCTTTCTTCTCAATATTCCATATAAGATCTCCTTCTTTGAGAGTTAATTCGTCGTCAGCTTCGGCATCATAGTCAAACAGGACCTTTGCATCGCCTTTCAAAAAGAGCGGTGTTGTGTCAATAGTTTACAACCACAAAACGTCTAGAACCACAGAATAGCTAGTGTACTTACTCATGCTGTCCTGGAGAATCAAAACAGGTTAAAACAAGCCGAAATTGGACCCAAATTTAGTGATAGCTTATACTTGTAAATATTGAAATATTTCGGTTGTTTCGGTAGTTTTTATTGAAATTTTTCAGCATAATCGGCAATATGATACCTTACCTTCCACTGATGAAGCCTTGACCGGCGAAACGTCTGGAAAATAAAACATTTTTAACATCTTTTTATTCCAATTTTATGCCTGAAGAAATTCTTTTTAACCTTTTCATATATATATATATATGTATTGAAGCAAATCATTTTGCTTACTTACATGGGTTATAAACACATAGCTTCCTGACTATAAGTCTCTTTTGTTAGTCTTGAAAAAAAATTTGTGCAGAGGTTAAATGCATTAAAAAAAATTCCTGCAGAGGCACGAGACTGAAAAAAAAATTCGTGCCCCAAAAATTTTATACCCCCCCCCCCCCCCCC